CTCCCACTCCCACTCCTTGGACAACATGTCCATCCTGGGCCTCCTGCAGTGCCACAACGATGCCACCCGAAGGTTGCAGGAACAGCATCTCATATTTCGCTTGGGAACCCTGCAGCCCAATGGTATCAATGTGGACTTCACAAGCTTCAAAATCTCCCCTCCCCCGATCACATCCCAAAACCAGCCCAGTTCATACCCGCCTCCCTAACCAGTCCTCCCACCTGTCCACTCCTCCCACCTCAAGCCCCAACCCCATCTCCTGCCTACTAGCCTCATCCTGCCTCCTTGACCTGTCCGTCCTCCCTGGACAGAGCTATCCCCTCCCTAACTCTCCACCTACACTCACCTTTACTGGCTCCAACCCCGCCTCCTTGACCTGTCTGTCTCCTCTCCACCTATCTTCTCCTTTATCCATCTTCTATCCACCTCCCACTTTCTTTCTAATTATTTCAGAATCCCCTTCCCCTCCCCCATTTCTGAAGAAGGATCTAGACCCGAAACGTCAGCCTTCCTGCTTCTCTGATGCTGCTTGGCCTGCTGTGTTCATCCAGCTCTACACCTTGTTATCTCAGATTCTCCAGCATCAGCAGTTCCTACTATCTCTGTACCAAAGAAAGGCTGCTTGAGACTCCATTTGTAAATTCTTTTTAAAAGAACTTGCTCAGGAGATGTGGGTGTTGCTGATTAGGCCAGCACTTATTGTTCATTCCTAAGTGCTACAGAGCAGTTCACAGTCAATCATATTGCTGTGTGTCTTTAGTCACATGTAGGCCAGACCAGATGAGGATGGTAGTATCTTTCCTTAAATAACATTAGTGAAACAGATGAATGGCAATCAACAGTAGCTACATAATTGCCATTATCCAGCTTTTCTAATTCCAGATTTTTAACAAATTCAAATTTCACCATCTGCCACGATAGGTTTTGAACTACGTCCCCAGAGCATTAGGCTGAGGTTCTGCATTGCTAGCCCAATGACATTATCACTATGCCATCACCTCCTTCTATCACCAGTTTCTGGGTTTCAACAGTCACCCAACTAACTATTGCAGACTACTGGCCCTTTATTTCCACTTATTTTCAGTATCGTCTTTTCCTGGGAAATTGTATCAAAGGCCTTACTGAAATACAAATACTGCGTCACTACCCTAACCTCATTGTGCCATCAAAGAAAAGCAGCAAGTTAGTTTGAAAACCATTTCCTTTCTGAACACGTATTAACCAACTTTTAATGATTTTATTTCTATTCAGATACTTCAGGACCATAAGACCATAACATTACCCACTATGGATGTCAAAATCAGTGGCTTGGGGTCCCTTTGTTTAGACAGTGTAGTTTACAACAATCTTTCCCAAGTTCCAAGGCACTTCTTTCTCACAGAGTGACGTTCAGAGCTTTTGTGCCTGAAATTCTGCATTTTCTTCTATGCTTCCCTCAACAATCTTCGAGCATCACATTCAGCCCCTGACTTTTATTGACCTTAAAGTGATGGCATTGCTAACCATTCTGGTAGCAATGTGATTTACCCAAAAAATCCTCTCAAGTTACCTTCCCAAATACATTATCCGTCTCCTGTTTTGTGAAAACTCAGGCATACAAAATATTGAGCATGTTTAGCATACCAGTAGTATCAAAAATACAAGCAGTGACTTACTTCGATTTGCTCTTGGCAACTGCGATTGTCCAACAGGTTCAATTTTAAAAAAAGAATGAAAAGAAATGAATATTAGATTACTTATAAACTCAGCTTCAAAGCATTACAGTTTAATTTAAAATGATTCAGTAATATAATAACAGCCATTTAGTTGACCTTAGCAAACATGCCCCACTCCACAACTCTACTGTCAACAAACCTCAGGAAAATTGAATTTATTTCAGATGAATTTTAAAAGCATCCACAGTTAATTAGCACAATACCCTTGTGCATTTTACACTCTTGTGACATTAATCACATAATGGATGAATCTTTTTGAAATAAAATCTGTTAGAGTTGCCTTTTAGCTTGAAAAACACTCAATAAACTGGATTTAAATTTGAGGACAGGTCCTGCCATGAGATACTTAACATAGAATATTAGCATCACCTAGTGATAGGAACAGAGTCCTGCAACAAAGAGTGGTTAAGTGACCAACATATTTAGTGTCTGATCGAGCAAGTTTGGCCAGGACGGAGAATGAACATTTTACTGAAAGCACTGCAAATGAGAGAGGTTACGCAGGATCACAGTACATCAAAATATACTTCCCTGTGCTGGTTAACCTTCAAGGATAAAAGATAACTTGGTTACTATGCAGACATGGACTAACAGCATGCTGCATTATTGGGTATATTTGTTTCAGTGAAGATAAAAGGACGACTTTAAAAAAGGAGTGAGAAATTGGAATATAAAACTACCCAGGCATAGATAAAAATAGACAATAAAAGCTTGCCATAAAGACATAAAAAGAAGAAATTACCAACAGTGAGCACTGGTCTCCTACAGGTCAAGCAATCCTGTGGAATCAATAACTAGAAACAAGGAAATGGCAGAGTTTTGGAACAAGTATTCTCTATCTGTCTTCACAGCAGAAACACAAAATACACACCAAGAATTGTCGAAAATCACAGGGTAAAAGCAAGGGAGGAACTTATAACAATCACAACCATTAAAGAAAAAGTACTGAGAAACTCATGGGACGAAGGCTGAAAAATCTATAAACCTGATGGTCTGCATCCTAGGGTCATAAAGGAGATGGCTTGGTTGGAATCTTCCAAAATGTTCTAAATTCTGGAAAAAACTCAGTAGGTTGGAAAACCACAAATGTAACATGGAATGGTGGAAGACAGGAAGCAAAAAATATAGGCCAGTTGGTCAATCTCTGTCTTTTGGAAAATGCTAGAATCCATTATTGAGAAGGTGGTGGCAGGACATTTGGAAAAACCAGGCAGAGTCAGAGTCAACGTGGCTTTGAGAGAGGGAAATCATGTTACGACAAAGTTATTAGAGTCCTACGACAATGTAACATGTAGGAGACACACAGGGGAATCAGTAACTAGTTTCCAAAAGGCATTCTATAAAGGTATATAAAAAAGTTGACAAATACAAGGTGAGAGCTCATGGTATTGGGGTGATATATTACCATGGATAGATTCACTCCACATATCAAAAAATGGCTTGACTTAATCATACTCCAAACATATCATACAAACAATATCCTAGACAACAATATCATCAGCAACCCAGAGTATGTCCTGTCCCAGCATCAGGGTCGAGCCACTAGAGGTGGAGGCACAATGATACACAGTCGGAACAGAGATGCCCTCTCTGAGTCCTCAACTCTGACTCTGAAACCCACAAAATCTCATGGCATCAGGTCAAACATGAGCAAGGAAATCTCCTCCCGATCCCCATATATTGGCCCATTCTTTTATTAATGAACAGTACTCTTCCATGTTGAACAGCACATGGAGAAAGCACTGGAGATTGGCAAGGACACAAAATGTTCCCTGGATCAGAAACTTCAATGTCATCACCAAAAGAGGCTTGACATCACGAGTACTGATCAAGCTCATCATGTGCTAAAGGACATTGCTGCTAGATTGGGTCTGCACGAGGTGAAGGAACCAACATGAGGGGAAAACATGCTTGACTTCATCCTCACTAGTCTGCCTGCAGCAGATGCATCAATCCATGACAATACTGATACGAGTGACCACCACACAGTCCTTCTGGAGTCAAAGTTTCCTCTTCACATTAAGGATAGTTTCCATTGTGTGTCACTACCAATGTACTAAATGTGTTAGATCTTGAACAATTCTACCAACTGAAGACAAGGTACTGATGAGGTACTGTGGGCCTTAAGAAGCAGCTGAATCAGTTCCCTAACTTCCTGCAATCTCATGGCCCAGTATATTCCATGATAAAGCCAGGGGATCAACCCTGATTCAATGGAGAGTGCAGAAAGGCATGCCAGGAGCAGCACCAGGCATACCTAAGAATGAAGTCTTAACCAGATAAAACACAAGTCTATTTGCACGTCGAATGGCAAACGGTAATTGGGTTAAGTGATTCTACAATCAATAGACCAGATCTAAGCTCTGCAGTCCTGTCACATCCAATCCTGAATGGTGGTGGACAATTGAACAACTCACTGGAAGATGAGGCTTTACAAATATCCCTATCCTCAATGATGGGACAGCCCAGTACATTTGTGCAAAAGACTGAAACATTTTCAACGATCTTTAGCTAGTGAAAGAGCCATCTCAGCCTCCTCAAAGTCCCAAGCAGCACATACGCCAGTATTCAACTAATTCGATTCACTCCAAGTAATATCAATAAATGATGGAATGCACTGGAAACTGCAAAGACTATGGGTCCTGACAACAGTCCGGCAATAGTACTGACGACCTGAACTTGCCACATCCCTAGCTAAGCTGGTCCAGTCCAGCTATAAAACCAGTATTTAACAAAAAATGTGGAATATCACCCAGATATGTCCTATATACACAAAGCAGGACAAATCAAACCAAACCAGCTCCTGTCCCATCAGTGCACTCTTAATCATCAGTAAAGTGAGAGAAGGCGTTATTAACAGTGCTACCAAGCAGCAGCTGCTCAGCAATAAGTTGCTTACTGACACTCAGTTTGGGTTCCACCAGGACAGCTAAGCTCCTGACCTCATTACAGCCTTAGTTCAAAACAGGAACAAAAGAGCAGAATTCCAGAATTAAAGGTGAAAGCCCTTTACATCAACTAAGTGTGGCATTAAAGAGCTATGGCAAAATCGAGCAAATTGAGGAAAACTCTTCACTGGTTGGAGTCATACCTGACACATAGGAAGACGGTTGTGTTCAATGGAGGTCAGTTATCTCAGCTCCAGGATTTTCTCAGAGTAGTGTCCTAAGCCCAACCATCTTCAGCTGCTTCAATGACCTTCCTTAAATCATAAGATCAGAAGTGGGGATGTTCGCGAATGATTGTGCAATGTTCACCGCCATTCGTGACTCCTCAGATACTGAAGTAGTCCATGTCCAGATGCAACAAGACCTAGAAAATATCCAGGTTTGGGCTGACAAGTGGTAAGAAATATTCGTGCCACATAAGTGCCAGGCAATGACCATTTCCAAAAGGAAATTTAACCATTGTCCTTGACGTTCAACAACATTACCACAATCCCTCACAATTAACATCTTTGGGGTTATCATTGGCCAGGAAATTAGCTGATCCAGCCACATAAATACTGTGACTGCAAGAGCAGCTCAGAGTTTAGGAATCCCAGTGAGTAACTCACCTCCTACCTTCTTAAAGCTTGTCCACCACCTACCAGGCACAAATTAGGAGTGCGATGGAATACACTACACCTAACTGGATGAGTGCAGCTCCAAAACTCAAGGTGGCTTGACACCATCCAATGACTTGCTTTGGAGAAGAACCACAACCATTCACTAACTCCACCATTAATGCAGTAGTGTGTACCATCAAAAAGATATTCACCAAGGCTCCTTAGACAGTACCTTCCAAACCTATGACCACTATCATCTAGAAGGACAAGGGCAGAAGATACATGGGTAGAACACTCCCTGAAAGACTGGAAAGAATTCTTCACTGGATGGATTCAGAACTATAAGAAAGGAAGATGTCAATAAGTGTTCAATGAAAGTCCATCATTTCAGCCCCAGGATATCCCAATAGCTCATTGCCATCTTCTCCAGGACAATTAGAGATGGGCACTAAATGCTGACCTAGCCAGTGATGTTGACATTCTATGGAGTTAAAAAGTTTGCTAACTAACAGGAAATAGAAACTGGAGTGAATGTGTCATTTTTAAATTTGGCAAACAATAACTAGTGGAGTTTCAAGTCTCAAGGATCAATAATTTACATTGCATATTCATGACTTGGATAAAGGAACTGACTATTATAATCACAATTCCTGATAAAACAAAAATAGATAGGACAGCAGGTGACAAGTAACAATGGTAGGCCACTCAGCCCTTCTACAATCCCTGTAATCTTTCATCCCTTTCGCAATCAAGAATCTATCTACATCTGCCTTATAAATATTTAAAGATTCTGCATCTACCACTTCTTGAGGAAGGGAATTCCAAAGACTCTCAGCCCTCAAAAAGAAATCCTCATTTCTGCCTTAACTAAGACTTTTTAAAAACTATGTTCCCTAGTTCTAGATTGGCCCACAAGGAAACACCTTTCCACATGCCCAAACCCCAGTAAAGTCCCCTCAGGACCTTATAATGTATTAGTTAAGTCACTTCTGATTCTTCTAAACTCCAGAGGGTACAGGTCTAGCCTATCTAGCCTTTCCTCATAAGACAATAAGATTCCTCATAAGGCTGTGGAAAGACACAAACAGTCTGTAAAGGAATAGAGCTTGTTAAGTGAGTGGACAAAAAATTGCCAGATAGAGTATAATGTGTGAGGTCTCTACTTTGGCAGGAAGAATAGAAAAGCAGATTATTATGTAAAATAGAAAGAAATTGCAAATACTGCTGGACAGATGGATCTGGGTGTTCTTGTATTAAATCATTAATTTTGCAGGCAGATCCACAAATAATTAGAAAAGCAAATGCAACACTTACCCTTATTGCAAGGGAAATGTAGTATAAAAACAAGGATGTTTTGCTGTACAGAGCTTTGATAAATCTGCACCTGGAGTACTATGTACAGTTTTGATCTCCTTAAGGAGTAATATACTTGTGCCAGAAGCAGTTCAAAGAAGGTTCACTGGGTTGATTCCTGGGACGAAGGGTGGTTTTAGGAGTAAAACGTTGAGCAGGTTGGGCCTAATATTTTAAGTTTACAACAAGAAGAGGAGATTGTAATGAAACACAAGATTCCGAGGGCGTTTGACAGGGTAATTACAGCCTAACTGATGCTAAAACTGCAAACACTGAACATTCGGATCATTGTTACTGCCCTTTGAAGGAAAAGAATTTGCCTTTGTCTAGTGCCTTATCACACTCCAAAGCAACTTTACTTTGATTACTTTGTGCTGCAACTGTACAACAATTTACTAACCACTCCCAATCCATTATTGGGTTTGACTGGCTGAATATTTGTACAAACTACTGATAACAGTCTTTCACAGGAATAAAGGCTGTGGCTTTGAATGGTAATGATTTGGTTAGATACTTAGCTTTACTGTAGTTGATGGCACATGCTCCTTAATGTCATCCTTCACCTAAATTCCCAGTGCACTTGATATTAGTCTCCCTGTCTCCAATCTCAGCCTTTACAAACTTTACTATCCCTTGACCTAAGCATGTGCAGGCCTTGGCACCCGAGATCTCAAGTTTCAAGCAACTAATGGCATCCACCTGAAATAGCAGGATCTTGGTCTAATATCTCAAGTTGAGGATCACACTTGCTGCAAAGAATCATTCACGTCTATATTGAAACAGATATCTACGAATGGCCTGCTTCCACACTGTAGGGATTCTATGAATAAGTGTTAGATGATCAGGAGCAGGATTGGAAACTTCAACTTTCAAACACAGAAGCAAAAATATTAACAATAGAGCCAAGTAGACATGCAAGTATGACCCATGGAAGTGGGTCAGCTGCAAACTGTGGCAAGTGAATCTAGCAGGATTTATACCCTCTCAAACATACACACAGGGGCATTACAGCCAGTGAATGGCACTAAGCAACTGTGATAAATGGTGCAGCATTTACACTGTACGGTACCCTTGAGGTTAGGCTGCAAGCTGGGAACTTGATATTGAGACCTCAGTTCTCAGCACAGCACTTTGTGAAACAGAAATCAATGAATCTGGTCATGCATGGGTTAACACCAGAAAATAACCAAGAAAATCTTCAGATTGTCATTAAAAACTCCCAAATGGTTGACTAATGTCCTTTGCCGAACATACCTGGTCACACCAAGCTGGGATTCCAGTCCCAAGTCAGACAGACAATTTTTAATACACTTGGAGCGGGCAATGAATATTCTCTCACTAGAGTTGGCCACACTCAAAAGCAATGCTATGTTTGAACCAGATTTGCCTTGAAAGTATCAGTTCTATTTTCTCCCAACCTTGCAATTAAAGACTGACAAATTTTGGAAATAAATATTTCTGTCATTTGTGGGTCCAAATACATTGCATAGTGAGTGCAGTGTTTTGAAGGTCTGAAAACTATATTTCTGCTTTATTTGTGAAGGAGAAAACAGAGTTAACGTTTTGGGTCTGGTGACCCTTCCTCAGAACGGAGGAAGGATCACCGGACCCGAAACGTTAACTCTGTTTTCTCCTTCACGGATGCTGCCAGACCTGCTAGGCTTTTCCAGGAACTTTGTTTTTGTTCCTGATTCACAGCATCTGCAGTTCTTTTAGTTTTTATTTCTGCTTTATTTGCTGACTTAAACCACTTCATGTCTGGTTTGGGTTTAATTGATTTTAAAAATAAAATGTGTTCAAAAATATAAATGAATTCATTAGAGTAAATACAAAGAAACTGTTTCCTTTAGTGGGGGAGTGGATCCTTTACACAGCCTTAAATTAGAGTTGGGCCATTCAGGGCAGGATGCACTTTGCAGACAAGAATGATGTAATTTCAGAATGCTCTCCTCCAAAAGGATAAGGGTACTGGGTCAACTGGGACTTTCAGAACTGGATGGTAGACTTTGATTTGGATATTAGGTGTGTGGACAAAGGCATGCAAATAAAATGGAGGTACTGATATCCCCCAATCTAAAGAACAAGATGGCGGCAGAGTGGGGAGCTGAGCTCAGGGCTTGTCCACTTTTTTTTCTTCTTTTTACATTTCCTCTTTTTTTGCTTTGTTTTCTTTAAACCCTAGAGAGTGGCAGGTGAAGAAGGCCACCTCCAGTGGCAGTGACAGCAACACCAAGATGAGCCAGATGCAACTCCACCCCAGCCCAGGGTCTCCCGGACTTGCAGGCTAGGCTGAAGCTCCAGATCCACAGCTAGGCTGGGCGCTTGAAGGAGTGGAAGCATCAGTGAAAGGGACAGACGGCGGATTGGCGGCAGCGTGTGGAGGAGTGTCAGATGGGGAACAGGAGGGAGGTATGGAACCCACGCATCCTCAGGCCCATGGTACCAACTCAAACGCGGCGGTTGTGGCAGCGGCAGTGGCAGAGGCCCATAACCGACACCCCAGAGCCCGTTACAGAGACCCAGCAGCGACTGGAGGAAGTACAAGAAGGAGAGAGTAAGATAAACTCTATTACACTAAGATCTTGTATTATATTCAGTGTTTCAAGATGGCACCACAGCCTGGTGACACTTTGCATTTAACACGTGAAGAAACACTCTTCTCTGTATTTTTATATACATGACAATAAATCTAATCTGATTAAATGCCAGGACTGCCTCAAGATAACAATACAACACAATAACAGCAGTATTTTCCTTTGGGTACCTGAGGCCCCCAAACTGGGCCAGAGGAAAACAACCTGTCCTGAATTAACCACTGAAAAATTACCAAAGTGACTCTTTGCAATGTTCCCTGTGATGTTTGAGAGCCAGCTGACTAGCACTGAGTGTTTAACAGAAGCATCAAGGCAGAGAACTCAGGATTTAATTTTTTAATTTTGTTTCGACAAAATGTGCTTACTGCTGTAAATTTACTTTTCTAATCCAACATCATAATCAGACCTGCAAAAGGAGTTTAAATTAATCTAGATGCACGAATACATTTTCACAAAGGCAGATGAAAGCTAGACGGCAATCCCCTGCAATTCCATTTACAGGCCAAAACAAGTGGTGTGCATGCCATTAACACCAGTCTCTCTGGCTGGGTCCAACCTTGTTATGCAGGGAGTACTAACACAGCAAGCACAAGACCCAAAGCACGTGAAAAGCCACCTGCTTCCTAATTAAACTGAAAGCTCTGGTAAATCAGGAGATCTATTTGGCAAAGCAAGTATCAGTTCTTTACATATCTTTGCTACTGAACGAAAAAAAAAGTCCCTCTCATCATCATCCAAGGAGTAGGACTCCCGAGCCGGAGCACACCCACTCCTTCCATTCCTTTTCTTCCTCTTTTTGTGCCTTTTCCTCACTTCTTTCTTCTTACATCCCGTCCTTGGGTCTCCAGTGAAGTCATCGCAGACTCCCAGCCTCAGTGCAAACTCCCGGCCTTTACCTTTTGCCCTTGAAGCTCCTGTAATGCTAGATTTTTTATTTATTTATTTTTCTAATTTTTTCCTAAGAATTTGTACTTAAGAATCTGTACCTAGGTACCTTTTTACCTAAGATGGCATCATAAGTGGCATCAGTTCCTGCTCATAGGCAGGCACCCAAGTGTGCCGGGTTGGGGTTAGTGCAGATACAGCATGTATTTCAGCCAGAGCCCATCTACTCAGCAGAATTAATGACACATGCTAAATATGAGTAGAAAAAGCACAAGCGTTCATTTGCAAGTGAATTTCAAAAAAGACAAACATAAATAATTGAGTACAGTAAACTATTGCCAAAGATTTTCATGATTGACTGATCCAATGAAGTGAAGGGGAAGTGTGTTCCATTAAACAATCTCAAACTTAATCATTATACAGGCATTACATCAGTAGGAGGTTTTTTGACTCAGATATTGTTGGCATTCAAACCACTGGAGAAAACCTAATACATTATTCAATCTACGCTTGATCATCAAAGTGAGAGAAGGAACTGTACTTAAAAAGTAACACTTGCTCAAAGATAACCTGCTCACCGACTCTCAGTTTGGGTTCTGCCAGGACCATTTGACTCCTGGCTTAATTACAGCCATGATCAAATCATGAACAAAAGCTGAATTCCATAGGCGAGGTGACAGTGACTGTCCTTGACATCAAGGCCTCATTTGACTGTGTTGTGGTATCAAGGAGCCCCAGCAAGACTCTCCACTGGTTGGAGTTATACCCAGCACAAACAAAAACCGTTGTGCTTTTCGGAGGTTAATCATCTCAGGTCCAGGACTTCACTGCAGGTGGCTTACCAATTCATGGTTATAAATGCTGGCCTGTTAAGTGAGGTCCAGATCCTGTGAACCAATATTTTAAAAAAAAAACAAAAATCGGTTTTCGCCATCTATCTTGTTTCTTTTCATCTTTATCCTTGTTAGAAATATCTCCTGTTTAACAAAGCTTCATAGAAATCCTGTCACTGAACTGCTGCCTTCCCTTTATATCATACACATCCCCTAGAACATGTTTTAAAGAAAAGCCAATCTTTGTGGAGTCTTGACTCCTGGCAACCTCAATCATCGCCAGCAACGACTTGTGGCTTTCAGCACAGCAGTGATGAGAAGTGAAACAGTATGGCATGCTGGGAACAAGATTAAATGGAAAAATATCATCTCTCCACATCCTAGCCTCAGAATCAGCAAAGAAACAACAGCACTACTTGGAAAGACTCATTCAGCGTGGGATTCTGACTTAGAAATGTTTTCTCTCAATTGAAAACAGATAACAGGAGGTACATAGTTCCCACAAGAATAAGACCACTTTAAGGCGCTATCCTGCTGTATTCCCTGAAAAATGGGCTTCAGATTTTACTTCCAAGAAACAGTTAAAAAAAATCTGATGTCACCCATCTGATTGAAAAATAATGCAAAGCATATTTAGCTTTTGCTTATGTTTCAGGAAAATCACATTTCCAAATCACTAAGAATAGTAGGGAATTTCAGAACAGCTTTGTTGCAGATTTGCTGCATGTGATTTTATTTTGTCAAATGTGCAATACCATTGCAATGACACTTCAGCTGGGCCTCCAATATTCTGTTGTATCTGCAGTCGAGTTTCCAAAAACACACAGCAAAAATGCTCCAATAGTTCCTCTTTGTTGTGAACTCTCAACCAGCAATTACTTGTCAGCAAGAAAGAAGAAGCTTGCATTCACATAGCATCTGTTGTATCCTCAGGACACTAGGAACCAACAAACTTTTTATCAAGTGCTGTCACTGCAGCAAGGGCCCACAAACAGAAAATTGAACAAATAGTCAAATTAAGTGGTATAGCCGGACGGATGAATATTGGCCAGAAAGGCAGGTAAACTCTCCTTTACAAGTACAGTGGTTTTTCAATTTACAAATGTCAACTTATGAATGGGATCCCATACAGTGGTGTAATCTTAAAGATCCAACATACAGACTTACGAATGGCTATCTTACTTTGTCCTGCATTGTGTTCCAAATAGTGTACAAATAAACTTGCAAACAGACTCCAGAAAGAAACCCATTCTCAACCTGGAAACTGCCTATAATATTATGGGATTTTCTTTACCAACATGAACTGACAAACTTAATACCTCATCTGAAAGATGATACCTCTAGCAATGTAAAACTGTCTCAGTACTCAATTAAAGTGTCAGTTTAAATAAACAGTTCCAATTTCAGGAATATTCTAAACTAAACCAGTAGAACGGGCAAAAATAAAAGATCAAAAGGAGGAAAAGAGAACATGAGGAGTTTCATGACAACACTGTCAACAGTTTAACATTGATAATAACCAGTGTAGCTGTGTGGGTAGTTATTTCAGGTTTTGGGGATGGAATTACAATATTAACTAACTGCGGAAGCATGCAGCATTTCCACTGCAGTACAAGGATGTATTTCTGCACAAGCCGAAACAAATAATAGTTGTTGCAGCAGGAAGATCAAGTCCACCAGTGTCTCAACGTCAGAATTTACATCCTCACATTCAAATCCCAGCACAGCCGTCATCCTGCCCTATCTTTCCAACTTTCATCAATCCCTCAACCTTCTGAGAACTTCACATTTCTCCGACTCTGGCCTCTGACATCTTTGCCTTACTTTTTGTGACCATGCCTTCAGACGTCTATGCCCTAAGCGCTGAAATTTTCTCCCCAAACCTTTCTATTTCTCTCACCTCCTTTCAGCATACATCCAAGTTAGCTTCTGAGGACTAGGTGTAATCTCTTCCTTTGACTTGCGTCATTTCATCTGTTGTTACACTCACGAGAATTGTCTTGTAATATTTTCCTATGTTACGGGTGCTAGCTAAGCTTGAGATATTTTTGTTGAATCTGCTGGAAACAGGAGGATTATTGTTGAATGTTAGAAATCAGCTCAGAATTACACATCAGCGTTGAGCCAGAATTCAGGCTGGAAGAGGGCTTTTTGGCTCTCTGATTAAAATTTATATAAATACGATGTCCCCTAGGAAAGTGATCAATCGCCACTTGAATAATTCTACAGTTTTTGCTTCTACTCCATAAGATGTAAACACAGGCACAGAAGTAGGCCAATCAGCCCATCGAGCGTGGTCTGCCACTCAATGAGATCACGGCTGATCCGGTAATCCTCAATGACTTGCCTGCCTGCCCTGCCCCCATAACTCCCAACTGCCGTACTGATTAAAAATCTAACAATGCATCCTCTATGGCCCACTGCGATAAAGGCTTCGACAGATTCATTACCCTCAGAGAGAAGACTCCATTTTCTGAGGTTATACCTACTGGACCTAGACTCTCCCACAGTGGGAAACCTTTCCACATATGCCCTGTCAAGTCCTCTTAAGAACATTGCATGCTGTTTCTAAGGTGTTTTGTTTTTTGCTTCTCATTCTTCTAAAAAGACAGTTAATACAGGAACAATCTACTCAAATTCTCCTCATAACACAGTACCTCCAAACCCGGAAGTCAGCCTAGTGAACTTTCTCAGGACTGCCTCCAATGCCATTACATCTTTTCTTAGATAAGAGGACCAAAACTGATCACAGCTGTGATCTAACTGGAGTCTTGTGCAGTCTAAGCAAGATGTGTCTATTTTCACACACCATTCCTTTTAAAATGAAGGCCAACATTCCATTTGCCTTCCATATTACCAGCTAACTTGGATGCCAGCTTTTTGCAATTTATGCGCAAGGATCACACTGCTATAGCTTTCTACAGTCTTTCTCCATTTAAACAATCTTCAGCTCCTCTATTTTTCCTGCTAAACTGCATAACCTTACATTTTCCCACATTATATTCCATCTGCCATGTTTTTTGCCTGTTTGCGTAAGCAGTTCTACATCCCTCTGCAGAATCTTTTTGTCATCCTCAGCATTTGCCACTATTTTTGTGTCATCCACAACTTGGTTGTAGTACATTCACTTTCCTCATCCAAGTCATTAACAGATAGATATAGAGTAAATATCATGGCCCCAGCGTGATCCCTGTGGCACTCTACTAGTTACAAGTTGCCATTCTAAAAATGCCCCACTTATTCCAACTTTGTTTTCTATTAGTTAGCCAATCGTTTACCCATGCCAATATATTACCTCTAATATCATGGGCTCTTATACTATTAAGTAGACTAAAGCGTGGGTACCTTATCAAACAACTTTTGAAAATCCAAACATATTACATTAGTGTTTCCCCTTTAGCTATCCAAAAGAATTTGTCCAGCATGACTTCCTCTTCATGAAGACATGCTAACCCTGCTCTACTATAATATCCTTCATAACAGACTCAAACCGGTTCCCAATAACAGACATTAGGCTAACTGACCTGTTTTAGACCCCCTTCCCTTTTAAATAAAATGTGTCACATCAGCAGTTTTCCGATCCTTTGGGACTAAAGGTTGTTAGTAGATATACTGGGAGTAATATTCCATCTCTGTAGTTACTTCTAGGATGTATCCCATTAGGTCCAGGGGATGCACGGTTGTTAGCCCCATTAGTTTTCCCCATACCTTTATTCTCGTGATTTCCCCAATCTGGAGGCAAATTCCCAAGCTATGCAAGCTGTTGATGTTTATAACTAAAGGGGTTCCTAAAACCAGTCCTGAATTTTCCTGTAGCCAGTTGTGTTTCACTCAATACTGCAACTCTAATTCAGTCTTGTAACGCCTTTGTACACATTATTAAATATAACGCCATTTCAATAAGCCCGCTCACTCTCATTCCTACATTTCTGCCCTGGGCTTGCCGTAATGTCCTAATAAAGCACAACACAAGCTCATGGAACAACACCTCACTTTCCATTTAAACACTTTACAACTTTGAGGACTCTTAAGTTCCACAACTTCACAGCCTGGCTGCATGGTGGTCTGTTCTGCATTTTCTTTTTCATTCTACCTTCCCCAAACTGTTCCCTCACCCCAACAACCCCAGTCTTGTCTTGTTTTCATCTTCTTTACTTCACTGTCAGTAGGCAGGACCCATTTTCTCCCTATCATACTTTAATTTACACCCATTTTACATCTCTATTTCTCTTGCACCACAATTAATTACCTCTTTGTCTTTTGTACTGGGCCTGTTCTCCTGGCTCCTCCTACTCCATAAAAAAAATATAAAATACAAAAAAAAATTTCCAACCATTTTCAGTTCTAGAGAAGAGTTATACTGAACTTGAAATGATAACTCTTTCTCTCTGCATAGATGCCGAGCTGGGTTCCTCAAGCAATTTCTGTGTTTGTTTCAGATTTCCAGCATCTGCAGTATTTTGCTTTTATTTGCAGTATTTAATTCACTGGTATGTCCATCTTGAAGAAGCTCTGCTCTTCAACAGGATTTCTGTTTTAGTCTTTTGGCTTGCTCACCTTCATTGCTTTCCATCAGCCTCTTACTGTTTGATAGTGTTTGCCAAAACTTGCCTTCACAGCCACATCTTCCTCAGTGACTGTCTCCAGCTCTGCCTTACTCATGGATTCCAAATAAAATTCCATCCCTCATGTTTTCAACTTACCCAGGATCACAGGTATCTCTGAGACACACAACAATCCTCAGACAGCTGCTCCCACTGAATCTCGAGGTGCACACTCACAACCTCTCTCTCTCTCTCAGTAAGCACCACCTGTTGCTATCCATAAGCTGTCCTGGTCTCCAGTTCCATTTTATTCGTTGTCTCATTTGATGCTTTAACAACTTTTTTCTCTTCTTTTCAGGTGTCAAGGAACAAAAAATCCAAACACTCAAGGGTACTGATGCCCCTCTGGAACCTTCTGCCCCTCCCCTTCCCTCCGACTCCATCCCTTAAGCTAATCCCCTTTTTTGCCCTGCATTCTGACCTTTCCCTCTCTGATGCTGAGCAATCTGTGCTCAGCAAAGGACTTGGCTTTTATTCCTTTGTAACCCCAACTCAATTAATTTTGGGCAGGATGTGTCGCTGAACTCTTTTTCTGTTGGTACCAAGTCACTTCTAGCTAAAAGTCTTCACAGAGAAAACATCCCTGACAGCCAAATCAGCAGAAGAAAAGCGTTTAATGACTTGAGAACAGCAGAATAAAGGCACGTAGACTTTCACCAACAAAGTTTCAGTTTACTTTCTTATTACTTAGGCTTACATAAGTGGGACTTGTGATTATTGGAACAGCATACCAGTCGAATTTAGTTCGGTTAGGGAATAGTTGGTTGTTAAGGGGGAGTTGTTCGGTTTGTTAGTAATTCTGTTAACCTGTGCACTGTTAGGGTTAAATAAATAAATTGTTACTTGTTACTTATAAAGTGAATAGCAGGGATTTTCTTTCATTTAACCTCCCCTTCTCCATAACAGTTTAACAGATTTAGGCGAGGTGAGGCCAGCTTCTCTGGGTGTTTCGGTGTTAGTTATTAGAAGGGGACCTCTATTCCCACCGTTACAGACCGGGGGCTTGTGTTTCGATTTTAATTGTCAGAGGGATTGAACCTTCCCTTCCTAACACCTCCAATATCAGCATTTCGTAAGGATCACTCCCTCCCATATTGTGCCTTCCCATGAAACTATATTAGATCTAACACTTGCCCATTCATCTCCTTCCTCCTCACTGTCCAAAGCACCAAATGCATCTTCCAGGCAAAGCAGTGTTTTATTTGTACTTCTTTCAATCTAATCATCTGTACTTACAGCTCACAATGTGGTCACCTTTACATAGGGTCATAGACGTTTCAATACAGAAAGAGGCCCTTCAGCCCATTGAGTCTGTGCCGGTCAGAAGCAAGCACCTAAATATTCTAATATAAGATAACAAGGTGTAGAGCTGGATGAACACAGCAGGCCAAGCAACATCAGAGGAGCAGGAAAGCTGACGTTTCGGGTCTGGACCCTTCTTCAGAAACCGAAACGTCAGCTTTCCTGCTCCTCTGATGCTGCTTGGCCTGCTGTGTTCATCCAACTCTACACCTTGTTATCTCAGATTCTCCAGCATCGGCAGTTCCTACTATCTCTAACTATTCTAATCCCATTTTCCAGCACATGGCTCAGCCTTGAATGCCTTGGCATTGCAAGCATACATCTAAATACTACTTAAATGTTGGGAGGGTTTCTGTCTATCACCCTATAGGCAGTATGTTTCAGATTTCCACACACCCCCAAGTGAAAAAACATTCTTCTCACATCTCCTCTAAACTTCCTGTTCCTTCATTTAAATCTGGTTCTCCACCAAGGGGGTAAAGCTTTTTCACGATCTACACTGTCTATGCCCCTCAATTTGTAAATCTCAATTATGTCCCTCTCAGTACCTTCTGCTCCAAGGAAAATAAGCCCAGTATATCTATGTGCTTTTCATAAGTAAGACACTCCAGCCCGATCAAGTTTCTAATAAATCTCCTCTGGATCCTCCAAAGTGCAATCACATTGCTCCTATGATAGAAATTCCAGAACTAAACACAACACTCTAGCTGTGATTTGACCAAGGTTCTATACAATTACTCTCCGTGCTCTTAAACTCTTTGCCACATCTAATAAAGGCAAGTGTTTTTATCAGACTTTGAGAGAGTGGCAGGTTGCTGTGCAAAGGACAGGTTAGTAAGTAATTGGAAGAACCTGAACACTTCATTATTAAACAGAAACACAGGCAGAGAGTGGATGTAGTGATCTCAATTGAAAACAAAAGAGTTTTACCAAAAATTCCACAAGTTATTCAGGGGCTTGTGCAAATTAAAATGGAAGTACCACATTAGTCCGCAAAATGATATTAAGCTCATCTGCCTACATGTTCCAAGGAAAGTACTGATCCACTATTCAAAAAGGTGAAAGCTAAGTTAGACAATATTTTCCTTGGTGAGAGATACACAATACAGACTGGGTGACTGCTTTGTGAAACACCTCAGGAACGACCCTGATCTCTCAATTACTGGACATTTTAATAAACCTCCTCGCTCTCATGCCACCATTTCTGTCCTAGGCTTGCTGCAATGTTCCAGTGAAGCATAACTCAAGTTCAAGGATCAACATATTATTTTACACTTAGGCACATTACAGCCTATAGCACTCAATAATGAATTCCACTACGTCAGAGCTGTCTGAAATAGTTATCACCTATCCTGAGACCATGGCCCCTTGTTCTCAACTCCTCCTATCACTCCTTACTACTCTAGTTAGACTCTACTTCACTCCCTCTGTCCGAATCAACCTGAAATTTACTGTCTTGAGGAATATTAAAAAACTCTCAGCAAACCCTCATCTCAGTGAGAAAGAAAGGCTCTTTGAGAAGGATGCATCATCTGTAGCTAAATAAGGAAGTTAAGAACAGTATCAAAAAGAAAGAAACAAAGGTCAGAATATGCCCTGTACATAAAAAGCAGGCCATATCCAACCCTGCCAATCACAGTCTTATCAGTCTAATCCTGATCAACAGTAAAGCAATAGAAGGCATCATCAATAGTGCTATCAAGCAGCACTTGCTCAGCAATAACCTGTTTACTGACACCCAGTTTGGGTTCTGCCAGAGCCACTCATCTCCAGACCTCATTACAACCTTGGTTCAAACATGGATAAAAAAGCTGAATTCTGGAGGTGAGGTGAGTGACAGCCCTTGACAAGGCCACATTTGACAGATATAGCATCAAGGAGATCTAGCAAATCCATGGATATCAGGGGGAAAACTCTCTGCTGTTTGGAGTAGTACATGGTACACAGGAAAATGGTTGTGGTTGTTGGAGGTCAGTCATCTCAACTCCAGGCCATCTCTGGAGTTCCTCAGCCTAGTGCCCTCGGCCCTAATATCTTCAACTGCTTCATGAATTTTCTTCCCTCCATCATAAGGTCAGAAATAGGGTGTTCGACGATAATCACACAATGTTCAGCACCACTTACGCATCCTCTGATACTGAAGCAGTCCATGTTCAAATACAACAAAATCTGGATATTATCCAGACTTGGGCAGACAAGTGGCAAGTAACATTCACGCCACATAATGCCAGGCAATGACCATCTCCAATAGTAATCACCACCTCTTGATATTCAATGAATTTACCAGCATTGAATCCCCTACTATCAACAGCCTGGGAGTTACCATTCACCAGAAACTAAACTGGAATCACCATAAACAGTGGCTGCAAGAGCATAGGCTATGAAATACTGCAATGAGAACTAACCATCTGACTCCCCAAAGACTTTGTGCCATAAGGTGTACGAGTGTGATGGAATACTGTCCACTTGCTTGGATGAGAGCAGCTCCAACAATACTCAAGAAGCTTGACATTATCCAGAAAAAAGCAGTCCAGGGTAGGCGATGGCCTAGTGGTATTATCGCTAGACTATTAATCCAGAAACCCAGCAGATGGTGGAATCTGAATTCAAAAAAAGAGTCTGGAATGAAGAATCTACTGATCACCATGAATCCATTGTCAATTGTCGGAAAAACCCATCTGGTTCACTAATGTTCTTCAGGGCAGGAAATCTGCCACCCTCACCTGGTCTGGCCTGCATGTGACTCTAGACCCACAGCAATGTGGTTGACTCTCAACTGCCCTCTGAAATGGCCTAGCAAGCCACTCAGTTGTACAAATTGCTACAAAGTCTCAAAGAAATGAAACTGGACAGATCACCTGGCATCAACCCAGGCACCGAAAAAGACAACGACAGAAACAACTCTGTCGACCCTGCAAAGGCCTCCTCATTAACATCTGGGGGTTAGTGCCAAAATTGGGAGAGCGGTCTCACAGACTAGTGAAGCAACAACCTGACACAGTCATACTCACAGAATCATACCTTACAGACAATGGCCCAAACACCACCATCACCGTCCCCGGATATGTCCTGTCCCATCGGCAGGACAGACCCAGCAGAGGGGGCAGCACAGTGGCATACAGTCGGGAGGATGTTGCTCTAGGAGTCCTCAACATTGACTCGGGACCCCATGAAGTCTCATGGCTTCAGGTTAAACATGGGTAAGGAAACTCTCTCTGATCACCACATACCGTCCTCCCTCAGCTAAGGAATCAGTACTCCTCCATGTTGAACAACACTTAGAGGAAGCACTGAGGATGGCAAGGTCACAAAATGTACTCTGGGTGGGGGATTTCAATGTTCACCACCAAGAGTGGCTCGGCAGCAGTACTACTGATCGAGCTGGTCAGATCCTGAAGGACATAGCTGCTAGACTGGGTCTGCAGCAGGTGGTGAGGGAACCAACAAGAGGGAAAAACATACTTGACCTCATCTTTACTAATCTGCCACCTGCAGTTGCATCTGTCCATGACAGTATCGGTAAGGGTGACCATCGCACAGTCCTTGTGGAGACGAAGTCCTGCCTTCACGTTGAGAACAACCTCCATCGTGTTGTGTGGCACTATCACCGTGCTAAATGGGACAGACTTCGCACAGATCTAGCAACTCAAGATTGGGCATCCATGAGGCACTGTGGGCCATCAACAGCAGCAGAACTGTACTCCAGCACAATCTGTTAACTCATGGCCCAGCATATACCCCACTCAACCATTACCATCAAGCCAGGGTATCAACCCTGGTTCAATGGAGAGTGCTGGAGGGCATGCCAGGAGCAGCACCAGGCATACCTGAAGATGAGGTATCAACCTGATGAAGCCACCAAACAGGACTTCTTGCACACCAAACAGCTGAAGCAGCAAGTGATAGACAGAGCTAAGCAAACCCACAACCAACGGATCAGATCTAAGCTCTGCAGTCCTGCCACATCCAGTCGTGAATGGTGCTGGACAATTAAACAACTCACTGGAGGAGGAGGCTCCACAAACATCCCCATCCTCAATGATGGAAGAGCCCAGCACAGCAGTGTAAAAGATAAGGCTGAAACATTCGCAGCAATCTTCAGCTAGAAGTGCCAAGTGGATGATCCATCTCGGCCGTCTCCAGGGGTCCCCAGCATTACAAGTACCAGTCTTCAGCCAATTAGATTCACTCCATGTGAAATCAAGAAACGGTTGGAGACACTGGATACTGCAAAAGCTACCGGCCGTGACAACATTCCAGCAATAGAACTGAAGACTTGTGCGCCAGAAATTGCTGCTCCCCTAGCCAAGCTGTTCCAGTACAGTTACAACACTGGTATCTACCCGACAATGTGGAAAATTGCCCAAGTTTGTCCCGTACGCAAAAAGCAGGACAAATCCAACCCGGCCAATTCCCGCCTCATCAGTCATCAGTAAAGTGATGGAAGGTGTCATCAACGTGCTATCAAGCAACACCTGCTCAGAAATAACCTGCTCAGTGATGCCCAATTTGGGTTCCGCCAGGGCCACTCAGCTCCTGATCTCATTACAGCCTTGGTTCAAACATGGACAAAAGAGCTGAATTCCAGAGGTGAGGTAAGAGTGACAGCCCTTGACATCAAGACTGCATTTGACCAAGTGTGGCATCAAGGAGCCCCAGCAAAACTGGAATCAATGGGGTTACCATCACTGATTCTCCCACTATCAACATCCTGGGGGTTACCATGACCAGAAACTCAACTGGACTCACCATATTAACACAGTGGCTACAAGAGCAGGCCAGAAGCTAGGAAAACTGTGGCGAGTAACTCACCTCCTGACTCCTCAAAGCCTGTCTGCCATCTACAAGGCACAAGTCAGGAGCATGATGGAATACTTCCCACTTGCCTGGATGAGTGCAGCCCCAACAACACTCAAGAAGCTTGACACCATCCAGGACAAAGCAGCCCACTTGATTGGCGCCACATCCACTAGTATCCACTCCCTCCAACACCAACGGTCAGTAGCAGCAGTGTGTACTATCTACAAGATGCACTACAGAAATGATCAAAGATCACCAAAGATCCTCAGACGGCACCTTCCAAACCCACGACCACTTCCATCTAGAAGGACAAGGGCACCAGACATATGAAAACATCATCACCTCCAAGTTCCCCTCCAAGTCACTCACCATCCTGACTTGGAAATATATCATCGTTCCTTCACTGTCGCTGTGTCAAAATCCTGGAATTCCCTCCCTAATAGCATCGTGGGTCAACCCACAGCAGAAGGACTGCAGCGGTTCGAGAAGGCACCTTCTCAACGGCAACTAAGGATGGGCAAGAAATGCTGGCCAGCCAGCGATGCCCACATTCCACAAATGAATAGAAAAAAAAACTTGATTCATTCTGTCCACCACCAATACTCAGTGGCAGCAGTGTGTATTATCTACAAGAAGCACTGCAGCAATTCACCAAAAATCCCAACCCACAACTAGTTCCATATAGAAGGACAAGGCCACCAGATACATGGGAACACCACCAACTGCAAGTTCCCCTCCAAGCCACTAACCATCCTAACTTGGAAATATAATCGCTATTCCTTCTTAGTAGCTGGATCAAAATCCTGGAACTTCCTCACTAACGGCATTGTGAGTTTACCTACAAAATGCGAACTGCAGCATTTCAAGAAGGCAGCTCACCACCAGCTTCTCAAGGGTAACTAGGGATGGGCAATAAATGCTGGCCAGCCAGCGATGCCCACGTCCCACAAGAGATTAAAGAAAAGAAACAAAGGTCAGAACATGAAGAGATTTTATAAAGAAAAAACAAAAACTGCTTAAAATTTAATAAAGAAGCAATTCGGAGAGGGTAAGATAAAGTGCTAACCTTATGAAGGAAGGTACAACCAAATCAACCATGATTTTACTGAATGGTAGAGCAGCCTTGATGAGTTGAATGTCTTACCCTGCTTCTAAGTACAATGTTGCTAACAGGCCCTATCACAAAAATAAATTAAATTGAGTTCACTCTCACCAAACAAACTACACAGAGATTAACAGGAGTAGTTTTACACCTCTTTAGATAGTGTCAGGACCTATTCAAGCTTTAAATTCAATTTATACAGATATTTCTGTCTCATTATACTTCACACTTCACTGCAGATGGGCAATTCTCAAAAGATATTAGTTGTTCTGTAAAAATCACAGTGAGACTGCCATGTACTTACTCTCAAAAACTCATTAGATTACATAATATTTCTGTTATAATACTCCCAGGTATCCACTATTCTAGATATATAAACCATCTTGAATCCCTCAATTAGATTCCAGTTTGTAATTACTCCAAAGTATTCATTATTCTACATATAAACCATCTGAACTTCTCGATTAGGTTGCAGTCTGTGATCACTGCCAGGTATTGTATGGGCCGGTCCTGTCCATACTAATTGTAGTCAAACAGGAGGCTGGAAGAACACAGCAGGCCAGGCAGCATCTGGAGGAAAGGAGCAGTCAACATTTCGGGTATTACCCTTCATCAGGACTGGATGAAGGGTAATACCTGAAACATAGACTGCTCCTTTTCTCCAGATGCTGCCTGGCTTCCAGCCTCCTGTTTGCCTACCTTGGATTCCAGCATCTGCAGTTGCCTTTTTTTTGTCTCCGATCAGACTAATACCCAGCCAGTCGTATCGATATTTGTAATTTGAAAAGACTGCCCCTTCCCCCAGCCAAGTGCTGTCAAAAGGAGATGAGGATGGATATAAAAGGAGCCTTGGGCTCTGCTCTAGATTCTCTCATGTTCACTCTGCCGCTCGCAGACAGTCAGACCGTTGGTAGCATGTTCAGCACCGACAATTCAAATTAAACACTCTATATCATTCCTAACGCTGTAACTTTGACCAAAGAACGAGAAACTCACAATTCACTGTTGTCAGGAACATCTTCACGCAACCTGGAGACCCATAGAAACACTTCCGGGTCACGTCACAAAACTCCTTCCGGGGCACAAACCAATTTTTTTTTCCCTATTTTGATTTTGCTTCACTTTTTTTCTGCAAATATGTTAATAATATGTATTTAAAGTTATTGCTTGTTATTCATTGACCTCACCTGCGAAGTTCATTCAAATGTCAAAATAATCAGCATCAACTTTGGAGATGGCTAAAGGTTGAGAAACATGAACTCTGTCTATCTCTCTGCACTAAGGTGTCAGACTTACTGAGTAGTTCCAGTATTTTCTGTTTTTATTTTCCTTTTTGCATTTTACACTTCGAAAAGGTTAACCCTTCGTTGGCTGTATACATGCAATTGCACTTTTTAGCAATTTGAAATTCACTCTTTCCACGAAAAGACACTATACATTTCATTTTTGTTTTCCAGAAGAGTCCCTGGATGTCCTGCATTTGACCGCCACACAAACAGTACTGGTTCCTGTTCAGGAAAGGGGGACGTTGAGGCTTTGGGGGTGGGCTGGATGTTGGGGTTAACCCAGAAACCAGGCAGGGCTGGTGTGGCAATGTCCATCACGAGCTGTGTTCCCTGCCACCACTTGCCATTCTCCAGAGGCACATGCACCTGGAAAATGGCTAAGACAAAGACCAGGGTGGGTAATGAACGGGTCATCAGGAATGAACAGGATCCATATCTGCACAACATTGAAGGGGCTAATATGTGAAGCATGGGTTTGCAAACTCCAGCTACATTTCATTCATAAACTTTGCGCATATGCATTGCACACAGAGTGAATATGATTATGCGTCAAATGTGTGTCTAAGGCAGATGGCACTTTGCCATTGGTGCTAGCTAAACCAAAATAATTATGAGAACGTAAGAAATAGGAACAGGAGTAGGCAGCCTGCTCACATTCAATATGATCATGGCTGATCTAACATTCCTCATATCCACTTTTTGTCTTGATTTCCCCTACTGAGCAAGAATCTATTTATCTCAGCCTTAAATGTACACAAGGACACTGCCCCACAGCTCTCTGTGGCAAAGTCTCACAACCCTCTGAGAGAAGAAATTTCTCCTTATCTCAGTCTTAAATTGGTGTGCCCTCACTCTGAGACAGTGCCCTGTTGTCATAGACTCTCGTATGAAGCGAAGCATCCTCTCAGCATTTGCCCTGTAAAGCCCCTTAAGAATCCTTCACGTACCAATGAGATCACCTCTCACTCTTCTAAACTCCAGAGAGTAGAATCACAAACTGTTTAGATTTTGCTCATAAGATGATCCCTTCACAATGAGGATTAACCTAGTGAACCTTCTCTGAACTGCCTCCAATAAAGTAATATCTTTCTTTAAGTAAGGGGACCAAAACAGTACTCCAGATGTGATCTCACCAGCACCTTGTCCAATTCCAGTCAGACTCCCCTACTCTTATACTCCAACTCCAATGAAATAAGGCCAACATTCCATTAGTATTCCTGATTACCTGCTGCACCTATGTGCTTGTTTTCTGTGTTTCATGCACAAGCACTCCCAAGTCCGTTTGTATTACAGCTTTCTGCAGCTTTTCTCCACTTAAATAATAGTCTATTCTTTTGTTCTCTCTTATAAAATGAACAACTTCACATTTTTCCATATTGTATTCCACTTGCCAACTTGTTGTCCACTTACATAACCTATCAATATATCTCTCTACAAACAGTACATATCCCCTTCGTAATTTGCCAATTTTTGTGTCTTATGCAGAAGTAGTAGTACTTATAAAAGGGGCAGCTCAACATGTAATGGAGAAGACGATAGAGAATGGCAGTGAATGAGGGGGGAAGGGGGAGTCAGTGTGCCACTGTGTCTGCCATGGTGATGTGGTAGCGCTGAGGATCGGGGTAAAATCGGGAGATGAACATTTAAATAAACTGGTTGTGGGGTTGACAGGGAGGACAAGGAAGAAGGGAATATGAGGATTTAAGGTGAGGGGGTCACCTTGACAGTGAAGCTGAGCCTGAGACTCACACCTTGAAGAGTGACCACTTGCATCCTCATCCAAATTACAAATAAACAATGGAGATGACAATGGCTGTCACCACACCATGCACAGAATTGGTGGAGAAAGTGTTTCATTCTGTGAGGAGGGGAAGGAGTGTCCATGTTTAAGCAATGCAAGGTCCCTCAAAAGGCAATAGCTATAAACAGACACGTACACGGTACACCAAAGACTGTAGTCACAGAATGCTATATGGGACCCTTACACATTGACCCACCACTTGGCCTATAAACCCTGGCCACAAACATTCTTAATCACATTGCACATTACGAATCAATCCCAATAGTGGCTAAGACACCCGCAACATCTTATGATCTGGAAAGATTCACCTGAACTGCCAAAGTATCAATCACTTCTCAAAGTCTCACAGCCTGCACAAGGTGTAGGAGCTGCTCACTTCACACCTAAGACCATAAAACAGCCACTATCCTATATCCTTGGGTAGTTGTGTACGGGGGTAGAGCTCCAGGACATCCCAGATATCCTCCTACTTTAGGGACCATAATTTCCCCTCCTCTGTAATTAAAGATGCCCTCAAATGCATCTCCTCCATTTCCCACAAATCCACCCTCAAATCCCCTCCGACCAACTGAAATAAGGATAGAGCCCCCTTAGTCCTCGTGTACCACCCCACCAACCTCCGGGTCCAATGTATCATCCTCTGAAATTTCTGCTACCTACAATTAGACCCCACCATCAAAAGGATATTTCCCTCCCCAACCCTGTCTGCTTTCTGCAGGGACCATTCATTCCGCGACTCCCTCATCAGCTCTACCTTTCTCTGCAACTACAACAGGTGCAACACCTGCCCCTATACCTTCCCTCTAACCTCCATCCAAGGCCCCAAACAATCCTTCCAGATCTGGCAGAGATTCATCTGCGCTTCATCCAACCTGATCTATTGCATCCGTTGCTCCCGATGTGGTCTCGTCTAATATTGGGGAGACCAAACGCAGACTCAGGGATCAGTTTGCGGAGCATCTGTGCTCTGCACGCAACAACCAACCTGACCTTCCAGTTGCTATCCATTTTAATTCCCCCTCCCATTCTCCTGGTGACATGTCCATCCTTGGCCTCCTCCACTGTCAGAGTGAGGCCAAATGTAAATTGGAGGAACAACACCTTACATTTCGCCTTGGAAGCTTACAGCCCAATCGCCTTAACATTGACTTCACCAGCTTCAAAATCCCTCCACCCCCAGCCTTATCCCATATCTAGCTCTCCCCCTCCTGATCTGATCTAGCCTGTTCATCTTCCTACTCACCTATCCGTTATACCCTTCCCACGGGCCAATCACAACAACCCCCTATCTGCATCCACCTATCACCAGCTCTCTAACCCTTCCCCGCTGCCCCAACCCCTCCCTCTATTTATTTCTGGGCTCCCCTGCTCGGCCCGAAACATTGACTTATCAGTTCCTCAGATGCTGTCTGACCTGCTGTGCTTTTCCAGCCTCACACCTATAGATTCTGCGTTCCAGCATCTGCAGTCCTTATTGTCTCTTTGTTACTGCTGCCACACGTACAATCTCTCACTGTACACATGCCAAAGGCTTGAGCAAATAGATGCCTGAATCGGGGCAATGCTTTGTCATGTCCAAGTAGAAGCATCCCACTGTCATCCTTGTTGGGGCCTCCCTGTCCCAGGGTTCGGAGGGTACTGTTTAAATGTTATTTGCATTTGCTCAGACTGCTGAATGATGACATGAATGAGAAGCTGCTTTGTTTCTGATACTGCTCGCAGAGGCTCATTGGAACCAGCCCAGTGGATCCAGGTGCAGAGGCTGTGGGTGCCCCAGTGTTGCTGCACTAAGGATGGGCAACTCTTGCATCTCAGGGCCCAGCACCAACCTCCAGCTGATGAGGAGCTGACCCCTCCCGAGGAGCTTATTCTATAGGTGCCCAATGATGTGGTGAAGAACCAGGAGAGTCACTCATCTCCTATAAAATGTTGTGCAGATGAGAGAGGAGCAGTGATAATGTTGTCTGGCCAGAGTTGGGCATCCGAACAGCCTGAGGTGCTGTCCCAGTACCAATGTGACTGCTCCTTCCACTGGGACCATCGAGGGACGTGGGATGGTCCATAGACGTCAGGTTTCCATGTAGGCTGTGTCTGGGTCTTCATCCGGTACCATCCAGACAGAGGACCCCATGTGATCCTTTGAATCTCTGCTTCAACTAAAGGGTGCAGCAACACTCAGGGATGGACAATGTGGATGATCCTCAAATAGAACAGCACCTTTGGCATGCTGCAGCTCTACAGTGCGAGGCAAGCAATGCAGGAAGGACTTCCTTCTGAACGTTGGTCAATGGAATTGCGTTACGAGAAGTCATCTTTCACTGAGTGTAAATGTTTTGATGCTGCTGGGGTCAGCATCCTCTGTATAATTTCAATTGTAAACTTTCACATTTCTTTGTGGTTCATGTTCTTTGATAGTAGTTAAGGTCACGAATGGATGGAAGCCTTAACAGCATCCAATGGCCCCTCATTCAATCCTGACAAAGTTTCACGCTAGTATGGGCACTGTGGAAATGATGGCTATTACTCAGACAGGGTTAGAAATCACCTAGCAAAGGATGACCTGCCTCTGGTACCCTCATGCCTGTATTTGCAGCTAAAATAACATTCATTCACACAATCGGTGATGAAAATGAAAATATACACGTGGTAATGTGCCTACAGTAAAGTGGCTCATACCTGCTACATGTCCTCAGAATGTTTCCTTCTTCATTTTCCTGTCATTATGTCTGAGATCAGTCCATGTGTCTGTGGCTGGGGTGGAGGGAGCTTGCCCTCTTATAGGAACTGTTCACCTTGGAATTTTGATTGGGCAACTCCATGGACGATTATGGCTTGAGGGCCCAGACGTGCTGCCTCCCCAGAGCCAGGTTCGCCATCACCGGCTTGAGGGTTAGGGATGGCAGGCAGGATGGAGGTGGAAGGCCCAGCCACCTCTGGAGTGTCCTGAGAGGGTATTTTCTATGAGGGAGAATGTGGGGTGATGTCTGTGTGTGGCTCCTCCTTTCACTGG